CCCTCACTGGGCACAGGACCAGCCTCACAGGGGCAAGTAAGAGTCCTTCGTTTCCTCTTTCCTCCTTTCATTCAACACCAAATACGTGCCCAGCCTGTGCTAGAGGCTCGGAAGTCAGACATGAGTTGGGTACAGTCCTGTCCTCATGGAGCCCCCACACTAGAGGGGAGATGGACACGTAACAGAGAGTTACCACTCTCTGATGTGATAAAGTGCCAGGAACTTGGAGCCAGGAACCAGGGAAGGTTTTCTGGAAAAGACATCATTTGCCTCTGTGACTTACGGAGTGAAGCTCTCTCAGCAGGGGGCCTGGGATTCAGCCACCAAGAGAAATCTTGTATCTGAGCCCTCTTATCTCTTCATTTCACCCTGGCCCCCCTCCCCCCGAATTTCCTGAGAACTGTACATTCCTGTCCCACCCAGCTCTTAGCCCTGTATCACCCAGAGCTAAGAACAGCTGTGCAGCAAGGGGCATCCGGACCAACCCAGGCCTGTCACACAATGGTGTGCCACCCAGCCAGGGGAAATCATTGTACAGCCTCTGCCCTCTGGCTAGCTCCAGGCCACAGGCAAGGGAGGCCCGGCTGGGGGGAGGGGTCTAAGTGGCCGTCTGGGAGGCCCCTTCAAGAGGAAGGGCCGGGCCAGGGGAGGAAGGACGGAAGGCAACTGGGAGGTCAGGAGCTGAGCCCCAGCCACAGAGGCACCTTGGCAGGAGGATGGAGAGAGGGAGGGCCTGACGGGGGGTCTCCCTGCCACACGAATCGCAGCCAGCAGGTTAGACAATCCCAGCCAACCAGCTCTGGCATCTCAGGCTGGTGGGGACCTGCAGAAGTCACCTGTCCAGGGAGAAGGACAGAGGTCACCCACTGCCCACTTGCTCGTCCAAGAGTTGCCAGCGGAGAAAGTCTGCGAGCTGGGGACATTGCTCTTGGCAGCTGACCTCCTATCCTTAGGGCCAAGAGCTCTTCTGTGTATTAAACTTGGACCCTGCTGTTGTTGAGGAAGCCTGCTTCCCTTGGCTCAAGCTCAGGAAACCCCAGCCTGGCCCCTTCCCTGTGCCGCACACCAAGTAAGCCAGCCTTCTCCGGCCCAGCGTGATGACATTCAGATCCTTCCCTTGCCCTGCGTCCTGAGGGCTGTTCTGCAACTGCTCAAATGTGGCGCATGCATCCTGTCAGGTCCCCCCAGAGACCCTGAGGCTCCGTGGTCAGTCAGCTGAGAGCTTCTCCTTTCCCCTCCCCCATGGTAAGCAAGCTGGGAGCACAAGGCACCGTGCCCACCAGGAGTCCTGTGGCTTCAGCACTGCCAGGCAGAAAGGGGAGTGGCGAGAACAATGCAAAAGAAATGGAGCCCTGGGCTTGTGGGCCCAGGTTCACGGCCCTTCCCCACCCCCCCAGCGCATGGCTAGCTGATGGCAGCGTTTTCTCATTAAGCTATATTGCTACTTCAGAATCCCTCCCGACATATATTTTAGAAAGTCATGCCACCAGATCAGAATTGCGAGACAAAATGAAACCTCTGCCCCCCTGGCCTGCACAAGCTCAGGGTGTCCTTTGTCTTCGGGAGATCCCACCAAGCACAGACAGACCCTGTGAGTGGTCCAGAGAACAGGACCCTGGCATCCCGGTTCAACGCATCACCCCATGGCCATGCTTCAGTTGTCGGCTCTGCGACTGGGTCCAAAGGACAGGCTGTTACCGGACCCACTGCCCTTTGGGAACTCCCGGCATAGTTAGGGAGACGTGGCATCCATACAGGAAAGAAAGGCAACAGTGCCGAGCAGGCCCAGTGAGTGCCCCGTGGAAGGGCTAGGTGGCCAGTGCCCTGTGTGGGCTGGGTCCCCCACGAAGCTGGGCTGTGAGTGTCTACTTCTCAAGAGGCCTTTGCACCTGGTGTCCTGGCCGGCAACCGTCAGTCCCTTTCTGCCCACTGCCGTGCCCCTGGACTTCCCTCAGAAATCACAGACCAGCCTTGGGGTGCTCTAGCTGACACCCAGGAAGGCCCCTTCTGGGAGGCAGTGCCCAAGCGGGGGTGGAGAGTGACCGGACCTCTGCAGGTTGTCTCTCCACCACGTCTCCCTGAGGCCCTCACCACAGAGCACTCCCTGAAGAGGGCAGTGCTCCGGCCCCCGTGTTCCTGCATACCCACCCCAGGGCCCTTCGTCACAGACACCCTCCCGCCCAGGCAGGGCCAGCCTGATCCAACAGTAGCATCTCCACTGGTCCCCGTGGCATGCGAGGCTAACTAAGGGAACTAACTAAGGGAACTCCATTGCCTTAGCCTCTCCCTTGGAGGGAATAAAGGCAGGCTGTCTTTATTAAATGTGGACATCGGGAGAACGTGACAGGAATGATGGCTCTTATAATTCCTGACCTAGCTCTTCATGACAACTTAGTGCCTCAAAGCAGAGATTCCCTTCTGAGGGCCTCAGCCAGTGCCGTGATCCATCAGCCTCCTGCCTCAGTCCCACCCTGCCTGGCAGCTGACTTTCTGGAGGCCCCAGGGTTCCTCCCAGCCCCATTAGAGGCAGGAGCGATGATCCCACTCCCCTGTTCTATTCGGTGCACCCCAGCCCACAGGCACTGAGCTGGGGCCCACAGGGACCAGCCCCCAGGGCAGGTGCCTCCAGAGGCTATCACCACTCCCAGGCGAGCATGGAGGGCTCCTCGGCATCCTGCCCCTCCTCGGCAGCAGCAGGGAGGATGCCTTAGGGCCTCCGGGGGCGGAGCGTGTGGTCATGGATGAAGATGGAGCCTGGAGCTCAGAGTAAATTTCACTGAAAACAGGAAACCACGAAGCTGCAATGTGTTCACTTGTAAGGGTCCAGAGAAGAAGAGCTCGAGGCCATGCAGGAGGAAGCTGGGGAGGAAGTGGGGTGGCTTTCTGCTCTGGGGCCTCCTCCCTCCCTCCCGCCCTCCCTCCACACAGCAACAGCCAGGCTTGGGGTCTGGCAGCCAAATTCTTAGAAATTATATCTGCCTGGAGGTCAGGCAGAAGCTGCGGGCTGGGCCAGGCCAGCCTCCCCCTAGGGCAGGAGCCCTCTTTCTGAGCTGGGGGATGGGGGAGGTCTGGTCTGTAGGCTTTTCCTTCAATCCTAGGGGTAGCCCAGCTCAGCTCTGAGCAAGTGTCACCCTGCCCATCCCTGCCATGGGCCCCCAAGAGCTGTTAGAACAGCACCCTCTCTCTGTGGCAGCCTGCACTCAGTGTCCAGGCAACAGATGGGAAAAAAGAGGGACCCCCAGGGACAAAGCAGGAACCAGGATTTTGGTGTCCTGGCCACGGGAGGTGTCCATGCGGTCTCAAGGCCCAGGCCCACTCTTTCCTCAAGCCCTCCGCCTCCCAGTGTAGCAGGACACCCACACTGACCCATGCCCTTGGGCCTGACAGGGGAGTTTGGAAGCAATGCCGTGTATCCAGGGGGGGCTCCCTGGTTCTAGCCGCAGGCCTGGGGGCTCACTGCTGCCAGAGAGCCTCGAGCTGCTCTCTTCCACCCCCAACTCCTGTCTCCCCCCTCCCCAGGCCATCCAGAGGGTTCTCCCTGCCTGCTGGGCCCTTTCGCTGGCCTGAAGTCCGGGCTCTGCCGCGTAGGCTGCTGAGCTGAACGCCCTCCTCGGTGCAGTGCCTGGGCCCTACGCCACTCAAACTCACCCCTTCCCCTCTCGGGCCCCCCGCCCCGTTTCCACCCCAGAGTGTACAGAGCCCCCCCCCAACTCCTCTCTGTGATTTTAAAACCCTTTAATCAAAATTCCACAAAGGATTCCCTTGCATATGGTGTATAAAAACAAATCCGGGACATGCCCAGAAGCAGGAGTTGGAGCAGAGGGTCTAGAGCAGAGGGCCATAGACCCTTCTATGTACACACCCACCGACAGGGTCACTCTGCTGTAAAGACAACACAGATTAAATGGAATGGAAGACCAAAGATGGGGCAGGGGGGCAGGGGGGCAGGGAGGGAGGAGGAGATGGGGGCTTCCTGGGGCCTCAGGCACCCCTGGAAGCAGAGCAGAGATTAAAACCCAGCTCCTACAGTCCTTTCACAGGGTTTGCACTTGTTGCCCGTGGAGTTTAATAGCACCTCCTCTTTCCAATGGAGGGAGGGTCACAGTTGGGGCAAATACAGTATGCGGTCACCTTCTGTACTGAGCACGCTGCCTGTGGAGGGGGGAGGGTGGGGGTAGAGCCTTTCCACTCACCTTCCCAGCAGGCTCCACCTGCCCTCCCTCACCCCCCTCTGCAGCAGGTAGTGCAACCTCTGGCCTGGCCCCCATTGCCCAAGACGCCAGTTGGCCCACAGTGGCCACTGTGCCTCAGGGTGCACTTCCTGTTTCGGGGACCCTGGCCAGTGAACTCTGGGGCCCAGAGGGCAGGCAGCGGGAGCCCAGATTTGCTTAACCGGTGGACAGCTACTGGGAGAGGCTGCTGGTAGCAGACAGCTGGGAAAGGCTCCCGTGGCCCCAGGGGCAGGCAGGCAGGACCAGCCCCAGAGCTCCATGGTCACAGAGAGGGAGTCTGACAGATGAGCTGCCTCAGGCGAGATCAGGGCGCTGGCTCTACTGCAGTGAGGAAGAGTCTTTCCACATCTTTTCCTGTGTCTCACGCCTGGCAGGATGGCACTGGATGGGGACAGGGGGCGGGGGGGAGAGGAGTGAGTTCTGTCCAGTGCCCATCTTGTCCCATCTGGGCTGTTTGGTCACAAAGCTCGTGTCCCAGGGAGAGAAGCTGCCATAGGCTGGAAACTCTGGAGCTTCTAGGATGTAGACCATTTGGCATTTGTAGCTGGTGAAGTTCGGGTCTCTGGGGCGGGATCCCAGCACCCCACCATCCTTGAGACAGGGGCTGGGCAATCCAGCCCCTTCTCCCTTCTGCCATGTAGCACCCAGAGGAGTTGAGGGTCTGGCCATCAGAGGTATCTCAAAGAGTCTGGGCTCAGAGCAGGAGGGAGGAAACCAGGGCCAGGGCCAAGGCTAAGGGACCACTCAGAGGGCCGGCTTTGCCTCCAAAGCACCTGCCCCAGGCCCCGCCACAGTTGCCCACTGGCCCCAGCTGGTCTAGATGGCCTCAGAGTTTGGGGAGTCAGGCACGGGGTCTGCAAAAGAAAGGAGAAGTAGAATGAATGGGGGGGGGGGCTCTGCAGTCCTTCACTCCCTAAGCCCACACGGGGAGGCTACAAGGCCTCAGAAGGGGAGTGAGGATGGTGCCCTACAGGCCACGGGAAGGTCATGACCTTGCAGGCTGTTGTGCCCTGAGGGTGAGGGTTGTTGGGAAGCACTCACCGAGGGTTGGGAAGAAGACATCGCCAGGGCCTGGTGGAGACAGAGGAGTGCAGGGCTCGGAGAGCAGGTGCCGCCCGGACTCTGAAGGCTGCCGCTGAGCCATGTAGGACAGCGGAGACCTGGGTTTGGCCTCCGGCATGCCCTGGAAGGACGGGGAGACCTCAAAGCCGGGGTTATCAACTCCTTGTGTGTTGTTGCTAGAAGAAGAGAGCTGGCTTAGTCAGTTGTGCTGCCCAGGTTTGGGCCTCTGCCCTCCTGCCTGCCCCACTCTTCTGCTTCCCTTCCCTCCCCTGCCTTCACACCTCAGGCCTCAGCACCCTCTTCCTGCAAGAAGGGAGGAGCTGGGGTCAGAAAAGGGCATGGCCTGCACTCTCCCATCTCCCCTGAGCTCAGGGCTGCACCCTATTATTTGGCCATCCACCCTGGGCGCAGCCGGGAAGCCTGGGGTCAGAGACACTTTGAGGACCCCAGATTCAGGAACCTGCAACAGGTTTCTCTTTGGTCAGTAGAGCTGATGGCATTAGGATCGAATGTCCCCACAGCTTGTCGTAAGCTGCAGAGAGCAGTTCTCTCCCTCTTCCTGTTGGGGAGAGGGACCACCTACCCCCTGCCGCCAGCTCTGAGATCTTGGCAGGATCACTGGCAGGACTTCCTTTGACCTGTCTAGAAAATCGTCCCTTTCAAACACCCAAGAGGAGCTCTGGGTTTGCTGGTAAAGTAACCGGGCCAAGTTCCGGAGTGGGGCTCATTCCTGAGGACACCCTCCCTGCCAGACGCCCCATCTGCTTCCTGCCCCGAGCCCACCAACACACACTTCCCTGGCCACCGCATGCCCAGTCCGCTGCCCCACTCGGAGCCCCTGGCCAACCTCTGCCCCGGTGGCTCGTGGCGGCCTGACCACTTTCTCCTTGGAGTGTTCTGCAGGGAGGCACCACGGCTCCAGGTGTGCCGTCCTCCTTTGCATGTTTCAGTGTCTGTGCCCAGTTCAGCTGCTTCCTCCTCCTCCCCCACCCTGGCCAGCTGCCCCCGAGGCCTGAAGGAAGGTGCCGGGCTCAGGCCAGTAGTGTCAGAGCTCAGCCCGCTGGGCGAGGGGCGGCAGGGAGAGCACAGATGTGTAGGCCTCAGTGCAGATGGCAGACGCTTTTCTAAAGCAGTTGTGCCCGGAGGCTGTACAGGGAGCCTCCTGCACAGCCCTCCTTCCTGACAGCTGACCCCGGGCCCGGGGAGGACCTGGGAGGCCGTGTCTGTGTTCCGAGCCCTGTCCCCAGGACACGTTATCAGCGGGGGGAGAGGGGCAAGGAGCCTGGTGAAGGGGAGTCAGTCCGGGCAAAGAGCGACCCCCCTCCCTTCTGCATTAAGTCCAGCTACGCTCTGAGTGTAGACATTGCCCGACAGAGCCGCAGGCCCCGGGGAGAGGCACGAAGAGAGAGAGCCTGCCAAGCTTGGAGTCGGGGTCGGGGCGGCCGCAGGAAGTTTTCTCAGGAAGATCTCCAGGGGCCTTACCTGTCCATACGCACCAGCTCCTGGGCACCTGGGGACATACAGACAGAGAAGCTAGTCACAAAGGAGAGGCTTCCCTAGACCACATCTCTGCCCCCTCTGGCAGATGCCCTTTGAGGAAGGGGAGCAAGCCCAGGCTGGGCCACGCTCAGCCCTGGATCCCCCTTCTGTTGGCTCGGGAGGCCCGCACAACAGTGTTTATCCTGCAGGCCAGGCCTCAGTGAGCCCGGTGTTTTAACCAGTGCTAAATGAAACTCGGGCTGCATTTCACAAGTATAAGGGATGGCATTTGTCACCAGGAGGCCAAAGGCTTTCTCCTATGGCTTGATTAGGTGCTGTGAGACCTTCCGGATTTAAGTATCATGCAAAGGCCTGACTCCTGAATTTGCTGTTTCCTGTTTGGACATTTGCCACTTTCTGGTCTGTCGCCATGATTTACTGAGTGGGAGGGCTGTGAGCTCAGTTCCTAATTGGAGGGTTCCTGGTCCTCTCTGGCCCGTCCTCCACATTGCCTAAAGGGTGGCTTTAGCAGTGGCATCTCTTAGAGGAACCTTAGGGGCCTGAGACCCCATTACTTCTCAGCCATTCTGCCACTTTTCTCCTCCTCCTCCAAGCTGCTGCCCCCTCTTGGGATTCCCCACCCCCAAACTGGCCACCAACCAGATGCAGTGGCCCTACTTCCCTCTTCCTTGCAGCTCCCCATATATTTCTCATTTGCAAGAGCTTTACCACGATCACTGTGGGGAAACATGGCCGGGAGGGGCACACACACAACACACAGGAAGTTGCGCAAAGTTTCCTAAAATCTCTGCTCTCGGCAGGAATCATGGCTACCATTTAGCGGGTGGCTCTGTGCATCAGGATTCATGCAGGTGCCCAGAGTTCCCGGGGTTCATCCTCTCCACCCCTTGTTGGGGGGGATTGCTGGCCCCACTTTAGAGCTGGGGAACCCCATCTCCATCTAAAACCAGATTGGTTTCCACACTCATCAGCCTCTGCAGGAGGCTGCCTGCCACAGTGCTCCCAACCCTTTCTCTCTCTTCCTCCCTGAGTGTGGCTCACTCCTGAGTATGCTCTCTGAGCCAGCGCCCTGCCTGCAGCAACCGACACACACTCCCTGTCCCCTCCCTCCCTGGCCTGCCACACACACACACCACCCCCCCCCCCCCCCCCCCCCCCCCGCGCCCAGGCGCTTAGCCTCTGTCCTGCAGCCGGACTCCTGGCATTTCCCAGTGACTTCTGTTCCCATAATCCCTGCAGCAGCACTTCTCTTGAGGCTAGTTGAAGAAATGAGCCAAATCTCCCCTCCCTTTCAATTTCATACCTGGTTTCTCTCCCAGCATCTCTTGGGTCTGTCTCGAAGACTCTGATCCTACAATTCATTTTTTCTTCCTCTTTTTTTTTTTTTTTTTTTAGAAGGGGTGAGCAGACTGGCCTCAAAAATACTTTTATTAGAAGGTAAGTTATTGACACCTTTTTGTTACTGCATATGTTTAATTTGGGGATAAGGAGCTGTAAGAAGCCGCAGGTCACAGAATTGGGGTCCATTTAGTTTCAGAGGATGTGTGCAGCACTGGAAGCTCTTTCCTGGGAAGCACCTCTTTCCTGGGAGCTGAGTGTGTCTCCCTCCTTGTCCCTTCCTCACCTCCATGAAAACATTGCACCAATGAGCACAAGCTCATGGCAGCTCCACTGTGATGACTCACCCTGCTTGAGCCCCTGGGTTCCTCTTTCTGCTCCAAGCCTTGACCTACCTGCCCCCCAACCCCACCCCCAACCTATGGCGGGTCTTGCAAAAGGAGTATGGATGTCCTGAGAGTAAGGGAAAGGTGACCACAGCCCCTGAATGAGCCACTGTGGGGGCTCCAGGTTGGGCCCCCAGGAGAGAGGGCTGTCCAGGTGTTACGGTCCGGCCAGAGGAAATCAGGTGTGAGCCAAAAGCCATCTGCCGACAGAGCTGCCCTCTCCCAGCTGTACCTTCTGCAGCCAGCCAGAGGGAAAGAAGCAGGGGAGGTGATGCAAGGGCCAGGGCAGAGGACTCCCCACCCTCCTGCTCCTGGAGGACTCGGGCTAGCCCAGGCTCAGGGGTGGGGTCAGAGGAAGGGCAAGGGGCACTGTACCACAGAGGAGGGTGAAACGGTGTTTGTGGCCATGACTTGAAGCCTGGCTCCACCGCTGACTCACTGTGAGCTTCCCTCGGCGAATTACTGAAGCTCTCTGTGCCTCAGTTTGCTCAGTTGCAAAGGAGGAACAATTGTAGGGCCAAGTTGTCGCATCATTATGAGAGGAGGTGTATAACAAACTTGGCGTGGGGCCCAGCACAGCAACCTTCCCAGGTAGGGGTTGGTGGCCAGGACGCTCATGCCGATGAGCATTCTGATGATGTGGTGGGATTACACTCCCTGGGAAAAGCATGAGTGGAAAGCTCTGGGCTTGAGGCCCAGCTCTGCCACTTACTAACTTATATAACATTCAGTTAATGATTTAACCCCGCTAATAAGCTCAGGTTTCTCAGCCATATGCTGAAAGAACTGAACTAAGTTATCTCCAGGATCCCTTCCAGTTGTGATCATCCAAAGGTCATTTTTGTCCCAATTACAGTGCTGGTTACAAAACAAGCCTACCCCTACATTAAAGCAGGTCCTCAAAGGATCTCCAAGGGGCAGCATTTTTATAAACCAATTTGAACTACTCCATGTGATTATTCATTCATTCAACAGATATTTACTGAGGGCCAAGCCAGGACCCCTTAGGGCTGGTGGGCACTCAGGCCCCCCAAATGGCACACCTGGGTCCCCTCCTCTCTCCACCATTGAACCCAGCTCCTTGCAGGGACTATAGCAGCTCCCATCTCTGGAACAGAGAGGAAATGTGCCTGCCTCTTGCCCCCAGGCGCCGAGCTGGGGCCTGGGGCAGATCACTCGCACCCTCACCCACCCCAGGCAGGCGGGGATACTCACGGCGGTTGGAGGCCACCTGCCTTTGCTTGTAGACCAGGAGCAGGATGAGGGGAAGGCAGAGGATGCCCACGATGCAGGCGCCTGTAGCCAGAGCAGCCGCTGTGATGCCTGTTAAGGGCAGAGACAGCCACGGTGAGACTGCATTCCCTCTGCTTCTCCTGAGGGGATACTGAAGCCCAGAGAGGAAAGTTTTGGGCAGGCAGGGGGACCCAGCTTTACCCAGGCCCCACAGCCAGACCCTCAGTGACCTGCAGAAGGACAGAAGGCCTAGGGATCCCCTTTCAAAGAGCACCCCATGCCTCTTCTTCCCCAAGTGGGCCCAGGGCACACAGAAATGAGGCCAGGCAGCTCTAGGGAAGAGAGAGAAGGGTCTTCCTCCCAGCCCGCTGGGGACAGCTCAACTGCCCCAGGCCATGGGTTTTTCCCAGAAAAGGAGGGAAAGCAGGTCCTTCACAGACCCCGTGCCATGAAGTTCAAGGTCAAAAGGAACCCAGGTGGTGAAAAGCGTTTGGAAATACATAGCAGTGATGTTTGCACCACACGGTGAGCAGAATTCATGCCACATTTAAAAGCGGTTGGAATGGCAAATTTTATGTTATATACGTTTATGTTATATACGTTGTATATTGTACCACAATAAGAAGAGAAAAAAAATATCAAAATGAACAAAAGCCCCACTCCTCCTGAGAGACGCCCTTAGCTCCTGACACAGCTTCTGGAAGGGATCTCACACATACAAGTCGGGGGGGGGGGGGGGGACACGTGGGGGAGAACTAGAAACATGTGAATCCTTATCCAACATTTAAAAATTTTAAACTTTCTAAATTACAAAATATATAGATAGATAAGTTAAAATATATTCCGGAGTTTCCTCCCCCTGCCGCTCCTCCTCCCCCGGGGCCCCCTGCAAAGAGGCAATCACTGTCCACACTTTTCTCACGTACGGCCCAGATTTGTCCCCTGCGTATACAGTATACAGGTGTTTTTCATGAGGATCGCTTTTCCCAGTTAGCGTGGCTTGGACAGCTCTGGTTGGCACAGAGCTCTACCTCATTCTGCCTAGGGCTTTGTCGCGGGACTCACCCCAGAATTTATTGAAACAGTCCCCCATTGGTGGACATGCAGATCGCTTCCATTTTTCCGCATAACTAATAACGTAGCCGTGAACTCCTTGTGTGTGCATCTTCGCTCGCCTGGGCAAGTACCTCTGTACGTCAACTCCCAGTGGTGAAAGTGCTGAGCCAAAGAGTATGTGTGTTTTCTTCTGGGCTGTTGTCTAATTGCCGTCCGCAAGGGTTGTACCGCTTTACCATCCCACCAACAACATGAGAGGCCTGATTTATTTCAGCCCATCTGCTGACATCAGGAGTTTAGCTGGGAACAGACATGCCCTTGGAACCACAAACAGCATAAACGTGTTTCCTTCCCGATTTCAGCCCTTCCCCAAATACGAAATACGGGCTGGGATACCTTGTCACGGCGTCAACGTGGCCCTGGGGAGCCTGGGGAAGGTGGATGGGCTGTGGTCTCAGTGTTGCCTTCACACTCTTCATTTGGGAATAAAGGCTGTTTTTATCTCATTGTATTGCTAAACAACCTGATGGTGTAAATAAGCTTTCCGGGGCTTTGTTCATACCACGGAAGAGAACAAACTGTTTACTGGTACTTTAGACCTACCCACTGGTACAGGAACAGTTGCTCTGCTAATTACAAAGCAAGTTCGAGTCCACATTAAAGCAGGTTCCCTGCAGATCTCAGCAAGGCTGCATTTTGACGTGGAATGGTGAAAGTAGACACATTCTACAATTCAGACGTTTGAGGATTTCTAACTCCCGGTCATAGGATCTTCTTGTGGGCACTGAGAAGGGGGTTGCAAAATGCTCTATTCTAGTCGTCAAACCAGGGCTCCGGACTGCTACTAAGCCACGTTCAGTGAGGTTAGGTTCTCACTCACTGTGTCTCCCTGTCCCCCTCCCGGCCTGACTCCTGTCCCCAGGCAGAGATCCTCCTCTGCAGCCCCTCCAGGGGATCAGGACTTGGTTTCCTTACAACCTGGGCTAAGAGTTGAGGCTGGGACAGGGTGGCAGGAGTTTGGGGACAGTTTTGTGGGCCCACATGCCCTAGAAGCTACGGGCTCTTCTGTAGAGCCCAGCCTCGCCACAGCTCCCCGCCGCCTCCCGCAGGTGTGGCCAGTACCTGGGGAGGTGAGGGTGGAGGGTCCTGCTTGGTAGCCATCCAGAGCCAGGCTCACTGGGAAGGCGATCAGGTGCTGGCAGAGACAGCTGCCAGGCCAGCTCTGAGAACTGTGCCAGGCCTTTACACAGCAGGCTGGGAGGGGAGCTCCCCCCAACGCTAACCTGCTCAGCAGTGCATCCTTGTCTAGAGCCTGCCAGTACCCAGTGGGTGGGTGAGTAGGTAGGTAAGTACGAGAGGGAAGGAGGGAGTTCGGTCAGGCTTCCTGGTTCCCCCGGGAAGGGGTTGGATGAAAGCAAACCAAACATCCTGCTGTGTAGAGGGATAGGGAGGCTGCTTTGCAGGAGGTAGGCTGCCCAGCCCCCTTCCCTGGGCTCCGTGACAAAACCACAGCCCCTCAGCAATTGGGGGCTCTTGGGGACCAACCTCCTCAGCCTCTCTCCCTTCCTCCCGCCTCCCCCAGCCTCAGACTGACTTGGGCTTTCAGATGATTTCCTAGGCCGGCCACCCTCTTCCTTCCCAAAGAGATCTTTAGGAGACAGGGCTGCAGGTGGAACAGAAAAGCTCCGAGCCGCTTGGCTGGAAGCATCACTAGCCGATCAGGTACCAAGGCTGGCTGTGGGGCACCTGTCTTAGAGAGAGCAGGGACTGCAGTCTTTCCAAAGGTCAGCAGCACTGAGGCCAGTACCCAGCGGCCCGCCCTGAGGCCCACTAAGCACAGGGGTCACCAGGCACATGTTTCTAAACGATTAGAAAACAGATGTGTGTCCACTGTCTGTTGCCATCTACCTTCCATCCTGTCATGGCCCACATGGTACATCATCTCGTTCTTTTTTTCTTTTCTGGCCAACATTTTAAAATTGAGAGTTTCTGTAAAATCTGGACTTCTGACTTTGCTGGAAAATGGAGTGGATCTGGCAGCCCCGGGCCCCCCTCCAAGCACACAGCCGTTGGAGCTGCCCTTACAGGCCGGCAGCTGGCTGCTCACCACAGTCTCCACCCCTCCCCACTGTCTTCCTCCCTAGGTCCCTGGCTTCTGGGGCATTGGAGTTTTTGATCCCTGATTCAGCCTCTTGGATAACACGGATTGCCTCCCTGTTAGTGGGGAAGGGACACACGTGCTCCCATTTCTCAGTGGACCCATGATCCCTAGAGAATGGAAGTGTTGGCCCCAACCCCACACCCCACCCAAAACGATAGCTGGGTTTCTTCTTATCAGACGCCATGCCCACCTTAGTGACAAGACTCCACCACAGCTAGTCTCCAGACCTCCAGAACCAAGAGTCTGGAGAGGGGTTGGGACTTCAGAGGTCACCAAAGTCATCATCCTGCCCTCAACAGCTAGGATGGAAGTAAACACATCCCTTTGGCCCTTGGGGAACCGGGTCACTGTGGACAGTAGCTCAGGGAAGCAGGGACCAGAGTGAGGCTGTGCATCCCTGGAGAGGGAGGCTAATGTCAAAACCTGAGAGTAGAGGTGCCCAGCGAAGGAAGCCTGACCCACTCTTGACAATCAAGTTCAAAGTTCTGCCTCAGCCTCGGGTTCTGACCAGCCAGACTCCCAGGCCTCCCCAGGAGACTTCTGTTTCCTTAATTCCAGCAGCTACTTCTCTAGGGTCTTAATCAGGAGAAATGAACCAAATCTCTGCTCCCTCTCTATTTTGTACCTGGTTTCTTCATTGTCCCCACTGGCATCTCTCATCTCTGTCCCCAGGACTTAAATTCATACAACTGATTTTCAGAAAACTCGTGTTGAGAGAGGGGAGGGCAGCCCGGCTCCCGGGCGGGGTTTGTGACTGAGAATCAGGCGCTCTGGCTGAGAGACTGGGAGCAGTCCCTGCCCCTGTCTGCACCTTGGTTTCCCCACCGGTGAGATGTGGGCAGTCGCAGAGGTGACGGCCTCTAAGGGAGCTCTGGGAACTCCTGGAGGAAGAAGGGGGACTGCAGGGTTGCTCAGAGTGGAAGGAGCAATGGGGAAGTGAACATTCGTGGGCCCCGCCAGGTGAGGCTCCCCCCGTCCTGGATGCTTGTGCACACGGCCGTCCACCCTTACCAGGGAGCTGCCGCTGGAGGAAGTGAGGACAGCAGTGGCCTGGTGCCGAGGCAACACGTCAGGTTTGCGGTGTGCAGGGACGGGGCTTGAACCAAAGAGTTCCTTAGTTCCATGCGGGTCTGGCTCAGACCGAAATGTGTGTTCTAATTTTATTCCTGGCTAAGCTGTTTGTTGGTTCAAAAAAGAGTAGTTGGAGTAGAAAGTCACCAAGACCTTTGAGCTGGGCTGGCGCTGTAGGTTTTACTGTCCTGTCCCTGCCTTCGGTCTTTGTGCACATCCTCCTGGAGGGCAGGGGGGGAGGTCTGCACTCTTGTATCTCCAGGGCCTGGGCAGGGGCTGGTCCATACTAGATGCCCAGGAAATACTGATGGATAGAAGGCTCTGGAAGCCAAGACCCTCTCCTCTCCAAAGAGTGGGGCACCCCTGAGACATCTCCCCTTTGCCTGCTGCCTCCAAGCTGCCGGGCATTCTGCCCTGGCCTCTGAGTGCCCAGACATCCCTCAGAGCAGTGGCCCCCCCTTCCTCCACAGGATGCTTCTCGGGGCAAACACCAGGGGGCTGACTGCCACCCGCCCACTGCCCTATGCACCCCTCAAGCTGGGAAGAAGGTGAAGTGAGCACAACCCAGCTGTGTGAATTTGGGCAAGTTATGTCGCCTCTCTGGGTTTCTGTGTCCATGGGTAGAAAGTGAAGATGTGCTGCCTGCTTCAGAGGGTTCTTGTCAGAATCTACGGAGATACCAGTACTTGCGAGGACTTAGCACAGTGCCTGGCATGTAGGAAGAGCTCTAGGAAAGGTAGTTCTGTTCCCCTTCCTGAGTCTCTCCGTCCTTTCTCCCCCATGCACAGAACAAGGACTGCAGCCCAATGGCTCCAGGGAAGGGGGAAGCGAAAGGGAGGGGCAATAGCAGAGGGGAAAGAATGGGGGTTCAGTGGGCTTGGGGTGATGAGGTCGGAGTTCAGAGCGGGGCCTGGGTCCAAGAAGAGGGCAGAGGAGAACAGAGAACCCAGAAGGGCCAAAAGGGCGGTCCCTTACTTTCACTCTCCCTGGGTGAGGGCGGGTACGCGATGCACTGGGTTGACGCTGCTTTGTCTGTGGGAGCAAAGAGAAGGAGCGTTAGGTGGGCCTGAGGCCGGGGAGGCTTGTGGCAGCCAGCACACGCGTACACACAGACGCAGCTTCTCACTGCAAGGCTGGGTGTGCCCGGCACACTCTCACGCCTCCCCCACAGGCGTGTGGATACCTGCCGGCACCCACACGCCTATCCAGCCTGCTGCCCCTCACACTCTCACCTGGACACACACACACACACAGATATGCATACATATACATATTTCCCAACAAGCGTTCACCAGCTCACACCCCAGGTCACATATCATGGCCACCACAGTGTCATGAGCAATACCTCCCAGGTTTGTACACTCTCTCTTACTAGACAGAACCACGTACACCCCCCTCACCATCAGACCCCACTGACCAGAGAGATTTACACGCAGCCCCACACCCCGTGGCCACCCCCTCTCACCACACACGTCCCTGGCGTGTCCGTGTCCCCCATCTTGGACCAGACACCCTCCCAGCACAGAATCACACCACGGTCACAACCGTCCAGTACTCAGCACCACAGCCCCGGAGTCACACGGTCCTCCCTGCCTCCCCTTCCAGACGGGCATGCGCACCGTCCCCACGGTCACGGCACCCCCGGGCTGTCCCGTACGGGAGGCCCTCACCTGTCTGCACCTGCAGCTCCATGGCACCGTGGACCCTCTGCTCCGAGTGGTGGTGCCTGATCTCCACCACCAGACAGCAGTAGAGGCCGCTGTCCATGGGGGTCAGGTTGCTCATGGTGATGGAGAAGTTGCCATGGTGGTCGGAGACCGATTCCAGCCCGTAGCGCTGGGCCAGGTCCTGGCTGGTGTTGGCCTGGTGGCCGCTGTGGTGCAGGTGAAGGTCCTGGAACGTGAGGTTGCGGATGGGCCGGCGCTCCGAGCAGACCTGCACTTCGCCCCGTGAGCTGCGGTACCATGTCTTGTAGTAGGTCACGTCGTGCCCTTTGGCCATGGGGCCCATGATCCTGCAGGTGAGGGTGACATTCTGGCCCTCAGAACACAGGTACAGGGAATATGGCGTGGCGACCTTGAAGGCTGCCACCAGACCTGTTTAGAGAGACAGGAGACGGTCACCTGCCTGAGCCAGAACCACCCCTAGTTCCCCCAGAGTGAGGAACAACCCTGGCCTGGCGCTCCGAAGATGTGGGTTCCCCAGCCACAGGCCCCGGGCTAGTCAGCTGACCTCCCAAGCCTCAGCTTCTTCATTAGCTCCTGAACCTGACTCCATCCCGGGCTGCATGGGAGGAGGAGCTTCTCCAGGTGAGGGACTCCCCTGGCCCCAGGGACACTAGACGAGGTGTAGGAGAGACTCTGGGCAGGCGGCGGGCTGGGCCCAGCCGGTGTGTCTGTCTCCCCGCCACTGCAGACCCTGTGGCTCTACCCACAACTGCCCCCTGGCACCTCCAGCCCCACACCCTGTGCCGTCCGGGGGGAAGCAGGATGAGGAGCACAAAGGCAATTCGGGAAGAGCAGCCCTTTGCCCTTGACCCGCCTTCTGGGGCCATTAGCACCTTGGGCCTTTCCCACTCGTAGGGCTAGCCATGCTGTCCCACCGCCTCATCAGTGAGCACTAATGGAGCACCTCTGTGTGCAAGGCCTGCACCACGTGCTACGTCTCACCTGGATGCTGAGCACATGGCCTCCCCTTGGGAGCTTATGGCCTAGGTGGGTAGACAAAGCATGCCTTCCTGACAAAGTAGGCCCACAGGCTAAAGGGCAGACTGGTGCCAGTCTACAGGGCACTTGGAGGAGGGAAGACATAGCCATCCTAGGGTTGGTCAGGAGACTTCTCAAAGGAGCGAGTGTCTTTGGGGTTGATGGACACATAGGACTTTAGCAAGTAGTCAGGGTGCTCTGGGCCAGGTGGTGAGGAAGCAGAGAAACCCAAGGTGTCTCGGGGCCAGAGCCGGGGAAATCATGAGAGGTCGCCTCATCCATGTACCTGCTGCCACCCAGTCTTCTCAGAAATATTTCCTAGTTCATTTTGTTTTCAGTAAGCAAACGAAGCCATCCCCTAGCCCTCTTTACCCTACCCCAACCCCCCAGCATGTAACCATGTTGACCCCCACAAGCACTGCAATGCATGGTTGCAAGAGGACAGGGCGAGGGAGAGCTGAGAACACTAGATGGGAGTTCTCATGCCCTCTATAGACATGGGGAAGGTAACTATGGTTATTATACATCAGTGGTATTTGAATTTATTAATTGGCATTTCAGAGGCTGTCGTAAGTCAGGGAAGGAGAGTTGGGAAATGTGTACAGAATCCAAACCAGCACGTCTCTTCGACTGCCACTGCCTGAATCAAGATAACACCACTTCCTCCGGCGGGCACCCCCTTCCCTGCCTTCAGAGTCTGGGACCCACCAGCAGAGCTGAAAACTTTGCCCGGTCAAGAGTAAGGCAGCCTGGGGTAGCTTTGGAACCGGACCAGCCTGCATTGGAGTCCAGTAGCTGGGAGTCATTTAGACTCTGAGCCTCAGACTCCTCACTGTCAAACAGAAATGAAAACATCTACCTGCCAGAACTGAGGCAAGGACCACAAATACTTCACATGAAGGGCTCTGAAAGTGCTTTGCTAGTAGGTGATGCTTGCTACGTGGAAGCTACACAGCTTTCTCATTCGTTTGGGCAAGTCCCGGAACATTTCCTAGGAGTGAAAATAGTTCTGCAGAGTAGAATGGAGAAGCCAGCTTCAAACTCTTTCCCACTAAGGTGTGAACGACTGACAACAGCTTGGGATCCAATTTTGGAGTGCCTGCATATTTAAAGCAGCGTGTGGGGAATGAGCAAAGTCATGGCCCCAAAGAATATGTCTGCATGGTAGTGTGTTAGACCCCCTAGAAAGTAAGGAAGACACACACACACACACATACACACACACACACACACACACACCAGATCCTTCCATTCACTCCACCCACATGTGAGAAGGAGCCACATCTGGGAGCCCCAGATCTATGGAGAATCTTTGCCAAGGTGAGCAGAGATTTCACAACTGCCTGGCAAGATGCTGGTCTCCTTTTCAGGCAGAAATGTAGAGGCCCGGAAGGGGAAAGTCATTTTCCTAAAGTGCCACAGAGGGAGAGTATGAACTCAGAACCTGGAGCATGGGGGGTTTCAGGTAAAGCCAGATCCAGTTAGAACTAGCAGAAGGAAGAGCAGGTATCCTGTGCTATGCTAACATCCTTTAGGGGCATGTCTAGCAACCCTATAAGGTCGGTGTTGTTTTTATTCCTGTTTCACTGAGGACAAAATGTGAGGCAAAGAGACGCTAAATAATTCAGTGAAGATCACAGTAGTGACTTCGACTCCCCCTCATGGGCCTGTGTGACGGCCATGGCCACAGAACTATGTGTGCCAGTAAACGGGGGGGGGGGGGCGTGGGTAGCCAGGGAAAGGACCCTCGCAGGCACTCCCAGGAAGACCGAAAACCCGTCCAGAGAGCAGACCAAGGAGCTGTCTGCCTTGCGCTGCCCCTTTCCCCAGCGGGCCCCAGCTAGTGGCAGCTATTACATGGCACTATGTGTCAGGGAACACAGAGTTGCCTGGACAGCACTGGGGAGAGATTTTCAGCCTAGAGGCTGAAAACCCACAGTGGGACACAGAACTGGGGCTGAGAACAGGGGGTGGGGGGCGAGGGGAGGGGAGCATTGCTCAATCCCCAACACCCTACACATACTAGAGGACCTCTTCCCTTTTTAGAAAAAGGAGAAGCTTGCAGTAGGATTCAGGTTTGGGGGATGGGGGACAGTGTTCGATTTCAGCCAAAGGGCCAGATAGCAGTGGACCAAGAGCTCCCAGGGTCTTGTCCTGGTGGGGGGTTCAGGGATAAGGGGGGTGGGAACATCCCCTTTGTTGTGTCTAAGACTCAAGCCAGGTCAAAGCCCAGGACAGCCTGATGCTCAAAGGCACAGAGTTGGGGAAAATAATGCACGCCCCCCCATGCCATCTACAACTGCGCATGCACACGTGTTATCGGGGATATATATATAGCACAGCTGGGTTTATAATTATTTGGCAGGAGGATGTTGCTTATTGTCAGGAACAGATCCTTTTGGACACCTGGGTCATTGTCAGAGACTGGGGAGAGGGTGGGGAGGAAAGCCCTCGGCTCCAGGGTGGCCGAGAACATGTGGGACAGGAAAATGACCCTGGGCCTGGGCCTGAGCCTATGCCAAGCGGGACCCATCCAGTCATTGTGCTGCTCCTGGGGCCCAGCCCCACCCCAGCCCCACCTGTCACCGGGTAAGGAGGCAGAAGCCCCTGGAGGATTATTGCTAGGAACCTGGAAAATTCCAGGTCTCAGGATTAAAACCTTGGTCTGAGGGATCCCTGGGTCCCAGTCCCCACATAGCCATGTCTTTGCTGTGTGCCCTTGAGCAGTTCCCATCCTTCTCTCTGCCTCCTTGTCTTCATCTCAAGAGACTCCCCATGTTCCTAGGCCCTTCCAGCTCTGAGGGCCTGGGGCAGGAGGAAGGGGCTCTATTTCCTTAGGGCAGGGAAGGGGGCAAGAAATGGGCCACCTCTTCTGTGTCAGGACTTGCTTAGCAATTTATACTCCTCTCACTTAATAGCCCCTGATGTAGGTATTATCATCCCCATTTTAAAGATGAGTTAACAGACCCAGAAGTCAAGCGACTTAGCCAAGACCACCCAACCCTCTGTGGCTGAGCTGAAACCCCCACCTTGAACACACCAGCACAGCAGGAAGGAAGGGCACCCCCTAACTCCTAAAGCGGGCGGGGCTGACATCTCAGCCTCCAGTAACGGGGAGAGTGAACTGACCCCAAGCTGACTGCAACTTCTGGCCAGTCATCCTTGCTCTGCCTCAGACCTAAACCGACAACACCATTCCTTCATTCCACAAATATTTACCGAGGTCCTACCCATGAGCCAGGCCCAGGGCAGAGAGGCTGTGAGGGTGCAGAGTTTCCTAAGCGATGGCGGCTCAGAATTTAGTCCTGCTCCTGCCGCTTTCCAGCTGGGGGACCCCCAGCCAAAGGTGGGCTCAGCCCCTTGTAGAAGCTTCTGTTCCAGTACTGGGGAGAGCGGCTCTTGTCTGGCTCCGTCTTGGGATGCTAGTTGTCATGATTCACCTCGTTCCCCCCAGCAGGCACCTCGTGAAACCCTGTGGGTGTGCACGGGATGGGTGTGTGTGTGGGTGTGGAGAGGCCTGTGTGTTTTCCCTGACGGGGCACGAGTTTAGCCCACGGTTGCCAAGGCAACACCCCAGGCTTTGGAGGTGGGGCCCCAGCTTGATGAGTCGGGCCTGGGAGGCCCCACCCAAACAGCTGAACTCTGTCCAGCTGCTGCTAGGGGTTATAAGTAAACAGTCCAACAGTTCCTGATCTGCTTCTGTTGCTGGCCCGGGGCTAGATGCAAAAGGCCAGGACCTCAGCCTCGGAAGGAGCACCAAACAGACATGGAACTGGTCTCCAGCTCCCTGCCAGGCCCCGTCCCCCAGGATAGTCCGGGGAGGGTGCAGGGAAAGGCTCTGTTCTGTCTCTATCAAGCTGCAGAGCACAGAGGGAAACAGAGTCAAGGACCAATCCGGACCAAGTCTGCCAGCGCTGAGTTCCAGGAAGCGCCCCCCGGCGCGGGGGGCGGAGCCAGCAGGTCAGCCCCTGGGGTCTGTGGCCAGCAAGGACAAAGGGCATCTCAGATGTGTTTATTGATACCTGCCCCCGCAGGAAGTGTCCATTCACATCAGACCAGGGAGTCTGGGAAGGGGAAGCCAGGCTCTATTGGAGGAAGCAGCGCTTCCAGCACCTTGGGAAAGCATCCACGCATCCGGGGCTGGAGGCTGTTGACCAGCTCGCCTCCCTGGAGAGGGCCTGGGCAGCTGGCCAGGCGCCCTGCCAATGGATGCTTCTCTGGATGCCTCCTTCCCAGACTCGCCCAGGCCCTCCGTGAGGAGGACTGTGTGCAGCCCCGAATACCAGCTCTGGCCAGCTTCCCTCAAGGGTCTGGGCTGTGAGGACTTCCTAAGGTTTGGGTTCCGGTCCCTGGGCCCTGCCCTCGGTGCAAGCAGCCTGTAGTAACCGACACAGTAGAGGTGGCCTGGGACGGACCAGAGGGCCCACGTCCTTCCTGCAGATGGACAGCAGGCCTGGCCAATGAGGGCTCAGATTGCTGTGAGCTCTCTCCCCATCCCCCCGTGGTTATTGAGATACATAGTTGGCCCCAACGTAAGAGAGGACCCAGCTGGAGCTACTGTATTTACTTGGACACTGTATTTATTTGAGGAAGGCAGCAAGGGCTGGGAGAATTGGGGGCCGGAAGAAACTCAGAGAGGCCCTCTGACCCTGCCCTGACCTCTTAGGATGGGGACCACTGCTCTCTCTCTTTTCCTCTGGGAGAGCTGACCTGTCCCCTGCCACCAGCTAGCGCTCTTCACAGTGGTGAGGTGGCTTCTGCAGTGATGGGGGAGGGGCCGACAGCGACTATAACGCAGTTTTACTTTTAGTTTTATGGCATTAAATGCCATCGAATCACATAGAAGGTTATTCCCCCCACCCCTTTTATTTTTAACAAGGGACAGCAGGTTTCAGGCTCAGAGCCTTCCCCAGGCTATACTAGAACTTAATACCCTTATTTGGTTTTCTTATTGTGTACTTGTATGATTTTGTTCTATTTATGGCAATGATACTGGCTTTCCATTGGTGGCGGTGATAGAAAGTTTCCTTTTAAAATCTATTTACTTAAGTAAAAGAATGAGTCCATTTGAGGGAAAAAATAAGTAGATATGATAGACGGATGCTGCTGCAGAAATCCCAAAGGTAATGAGCAGAAAGCTGACGCTCAGGGAGCTCTATTCTGGAACTGCCCTTCAGAAGGGGGCAGTCAGCCTCCCTGAAACCATGTCCCCCAGGCTGCCCATGGCTCAGAGAGAATGTGCATTCAGTGTCCCCCAGGGAGTGAAGAGTAGCCTCTGCTGTTCGTTATTCCCTATTCAACCCCAGGTCCCCACGGGAAATAGCATCCTATGCAGAACATTTAAAGGATGGGGTCCCTGCTCAGGCCGAAGCGCAGCAAGTTCATTACTGAATGACGGATGTGCATTACAGCCACGGCCTTTCTCTCTGGGAATGGGCAGCCAGAGCAACTAGACGAAACGTAAAGATCAGTTGCAAGGAAGATCCCAGTTAGACCAGCAAACCCTGAGCTGGGCTTGCCTTGAAGTTGCAAAGTCCCACATCTCTGGGGAACTTGAAGAGAATCCACAGGCGCCTCCATGGACATTTCACACTTTAAGTGCCTATAGGTGCTGACAGGTGGCCAGACCTCGAGGATTCTTCGAGTCCACTCCTAGGGAAATCAGTCCATGACTTCCCACACCCTGGGCTCTCCACCAGGCTCTGTAGGCACCAAGGAACTTGGAGGGCCTATGGCACGTGGCCACAGAAGGCCAAGAAACAGCTTAACACTACACATCATTCACCAGGCTCCAGGCACGGTGCTGAGGTTGTGCACTGACTCTTCACCGAAGCCCCCTGAGGGAGGGGCCATCATCATCCCCATTGTAGAGATGAAGGAACTTGCTCAGACATGCTGAGTAACTTGCCCAAAGCCACAGCCGTAAATGGCCATCTTGGGATTTGAACCTAGATCTCACTGACTCCCAAGACCAGACGGTTGAGTGACAGGACTGTATGGGAAGCATGCAAGGCACACAGCCCCAGACCCCTTGCTTCACCATTCCCATACAGGGTGCCATCAGGAAGGCCTTGGGCCTGCCAGTGCTGCTGCTAAGGGGACCCAGGGGTCCCTCAGAAAGCTGCACTGCCAATCCCAGGTTCACCCCGCCCAGGTGAAGGCAGACTGCTCCTGGATGAGTAGCTGGCCTAAAACTGGGGGGCCTCAAGCTCAGTATGTGGGGCTTAGTCAGTGCTGGTTGAAGGCATCACTGCCAATAGGCCAGATGGGTACTGAGGAGCTTTTCCTTCCTTCTCTCCCTTGATCTGCTGAAGCCGAAGACCCGTATATGTATATGCATATAGGGAGGTGGCCTCTTTCAGCTTCCCGCCACTGTCCCTCCCACCTGAGCCACCACTCCCAGGGAGGTCAGGCCCTGGCAGGGAACCTTTGCCCTGCTTGGGGGGGGACACAGGAACAACAAGCCCAGCTGGGCGAGGGACTCCCTGGTATTGCTGGGCATCCCTAGCATTGGGCAGATGCCCCCTCACGCCTGTGGGCTGGCCTCCAGGGCCACCCCAGGGGCTCTGGACAGAAGAGGGTGGATTTCCTAAGAGCTGACCTTTGCTGCGTCAGAGGCTTGCACCATTGGGTTACTCAACAAGGCCCTGCAGTCCTGTTTACTATGAAGGGGATGATGGGGTCTCCCCTCCCTAGCCTCAGTGCACCTCCATGCGCTAGTCCCAGAGTCTGGGCCTCCTGGGTCAGCCTATAAGGCCACGGTGAAGACAAGAACTTTCTCAGGTCCTAGGAGTGCATAGAGGGGAAGAAGAGCCTCTGCCACCCTTGGGGTCTGCTGGGGCCTGGCTCTGTTAGGTGCATCCCGCCATCCATCTCACCCTGAGTCAGGCCCAGGAAAGGGGCGTCTTCAGTTGACTGGGCTCCTGAGCACCAACTCACCACCACCATTCTCCTTGGTGCTGACCCAGCCTCAGGAGCTTAGAAAACAGACCTGCACCAGCCACCTCCATCTCACCTTCCCAGACATTGAAGCCTTTGACCTTGAGCAGTCCTGCCCAAGGCAACCCACCTCAGCAGGCCAGCGAGTCTTTCCGACTCACAGACCCTCCTGACAGTGCCTGCAACCAGGCTTCCCGTCTGTTAGCCCCTTTGTTACACATTGTCCTGGGCAGTGGGAATGTTCATTAGAATGCCCATATTACAGTTAAGAATACTGAGTCCCAGAGTAGTTCAAAGCCAAGAGAATGCTTCTGACCCCCTTCAGTAGAAAACTGCTTAGAGCCCTAATCATCTCCCTGAGCTGGGCCCGGGAAGAGCTGGTCCTGTGGAGTGCCGCACTGTGTGAGTAGCCGAGACCTCTAGGGGTGAAGGCTTCTGGCTACTTAGACGATATGGAGCGAGGGCTCTGAGCCTCTCTGTTACCAGCTACTCTGCAAGGTGTCTCCCTACACCTCAGTTCTCTGGAGCTCAGTTTCCTGAATTGGGGCTGCTGAATAGAGAGCAGCCCGGCCAGGGGAGGGCAGAGGAAGGGGTAAGAAAGCAGAAGGGCCTCTCAGGGTCACTTGAGGAGAAAGGGGCAGGGCAGGTGCTCTGTGGTACGGGCAGTGCTGGCCTTCCTGCCTGCCACCATCCCCTGCCCTTTCTGGAAACCATGTCCTGCCATGAAGCATGGCCTTGGTGCCGAGACCATCTCCCCCACCCTGCGAGAATCCAGGCCAGGGCTAGGCAGCTCTGTGGGGGGGGTGTGGGCTTTCTCCTCCTTATCAGAGGCCACACTCCCCGAGCGCTGAGATAACACGCTGCCTGCAAGCACCCAGTTTGTTTCTGGTATATCCCAGGTTCTCTCAACTCCCTTCTCTTGCTCCTACCCTGTGCTCCCCCCTCCTTTCTTCTCCTGACCCGCCCACTGGGTCCTTGTGCCAAGTGCCCCACCTTCCTCTTGCGTCCCTGACTCCCTGCATGACTCAAGCTTTCCCTGGGCCCTCCCCACAAAGTATAGTTCACAGGCTGCCTGCTGGCCCCCTCTTCCCTTGAAATCCAGCTGATCCAGTGCCAGGCACCAAGAACCGAGGGCCAGGCTGTGGGTACCCCGACCTCTGCCCTACCCCTGCTCCCCGCCCTGCCCTGGGAGCCCCTGTGTCCTAGCCAGGATTCCACTTGGAGTTGTGACAGTCTGGACTTTGGAAGAAGAAAGTGGCACCTCCCTGGTGTAGGGCTTCTGAGCGTGAGCTGAGAAAACCGAGACCAGAAAGATGCCATAAATTATTCTGGGACTCAGACGGGGCTCATGGCTGAGCCAGGAAAGTGGCCCACATTCTCCCCAGGACCCCACACCAGTCCCTGAGCTCCAGCCTTGCTAGGATGCCGGGAATCAGCTGGCCACTCAACTCTCAGCTGCCAAACCCTCAGGAGAAGGACCAGGTGGGCGCCCACATCTGCGAGTGCACCCGTGCCCCCCAAGGTTCAACCAGGAGTGTCACCAGGGAGCAGGACACAGAGAGTACCACACCCCCTGCGCCCAGTGAGATCCTGGAGCCCTGAGGCGGGCGGCACAGGGAGATGCCCCAGGTGTCAAAAGCCCGTGGTGTCCACCAGAAAATGCTGGGCTGTCCCCACCGTGTCCATCTCCTCTCTGCAGCAGCCGCTCTCGCGCAGGGCTCTCTGGGCAGGGAAGTGTCGGGCCGGCAGCAGCTTGGGCGGCTGTCAGAGCATGCAGACGTGCTGCCGCCCAGCCAGGGCACTTGGCAGAGACCTGCGGCCCCTGCAGTGAGGTCCGAGCGAGTGGGAAACAGGGCAGGTGGAGGGAGGAGCCCCCCCCCCCGCGGCCCCCTCCCCAGCCGTGTTGTCCCGGTGAGCCTCCCCACCGACTTCTGCTGACCTTACCTCGGGAGGCAGCCAGGAAGAGAGCGAGGAGCACAGGCCCCCAGTGCCGGCCACCGGCCTCCGGGACCAGGGGGACGCCCATGTCACCGTCGGGCGGCGGCGTCTGGAGCCCCGGGGCCCGGAGTGGGACCGCGGGCGCGCAGGGGGAGCGCCTGGTGCTTCGGGAGCGGCGGCACACAGCTGGCCGGAAAACCTCCGGTGGAGTGAGTGCAGAGAGCGAGCGCCGTGGGCGCCCGAGAGCTCCAGGGCCCACCCCCCTTCCCCCGCAGCGCCCCCGGGGGGCCGTGGGGGGAACTGCCTCGCCAAGGGCCCGCGGGAGGGGCTTCCCCGCTGACTCACAGAGCACCCGGCCCTCTAGGTAGGGGCGACAGCCCAAGTGTCCGCGTCAGCTCTGCTTGATTCCTGCTCTCTCCCATGCCCCTCCGGAGAGGATCGGTACTGCCGCACAGCCTGAGAAGGGCATTGCCTCTAACTTAGCAGGCTACACAAGCACCGTAGTTTGTGTCTGACCTCACCCACCAGCCTTTGAGTCCTCTGGGGGCAAGCACTTGTCCCCAACATCCTCCAGCCCAGCCCAGGGCCTGGTAGGTGGTAGGCACTCCCAGCAGTGGAATGAATGAGTGAATGAATGAAATCTAACTTTTGTAAAGGGCTAAGCAGGTTGGAGCGGACTTGACCGTAGATCCCAGAGCCTGTAAGACCTTTGTGCATGCACACACTCACACACACACACACACACGGCACAGCTGCAGGGATACACACACCAGACTTGGCACATCCCTACAGATGCACGTGTGTATGCATCTGGTAGATGTCCCGTAGGAAATCATCAGGGCTCCTCTCCGGCTAGGCCCCAACATCGCTTCCCACTTTGCACCCTCTTTAGCTACCTGTGCCCCGGGTAGCCACAGGACAGTCATGCACCCCCCTCCCCAGTCCTCCACTCCTGCACCCCCACCCAGCACTAGCACCACTGGTGGTGCCTCCCGCCTCCCCTCTCCCTCAGGGCTCAATTCGAGTCCTTCCCCTTCGCCAAGGGTCCTGAGCTTCCCCACTGGGCACCCCTCCAGGCCTCACTGTTCACATTCCATTCCGCTGTCACACCCAAGTTACCGACCAGCTGATTTGCACCTGGGCGTACCTGCCCGCCTGAGCTAGACTGTGAACTTTGGGGGATCAGAGCCTCTGCCTGAGGTTTCTGAGTCCCAGGCACAAAAGTGGGCACAGAGAAGGTGTTTAAAGCGCTCTTATCTGAATGGACAAACGGATAACTGAGCAAGGGGCTTCCTAAATGAAGGAATGGGGGTGGCAGTGGCTAGGGCCAGGGGTCAGGGGAAGGAGGGGCGCAGCCATTGTACTGTTTACCCCAGCCTTGCTGAAGCTTCTAGGGGCTTTGCTGGCCCACTAGCTGTCTTGAGCTCACACGGCCCCAGGCTGAAGGACAGAGGACAGCCAGAGTCCATCTGGGGTGGGAATCAGGGTAGTGGAACTGAATGGTAGCCAGGAATTCTGGGTGCCCCGTGGGTGACTTCGTCCTAGTCAGAGGCTCTCTGGGAGCTCTCAGTTGTCATCCTGGGACGGGAAGACTATATAGGGGAAAGGTGGGCGTCGTGCTTTTACTACACGCCCAGCCCCCCTGAGATGGGCCAGAGACCGCCAGGACGTAACTGGGTCCTTCATCATGATCCTGACCTTATGACGACCCCATGTTGGGAAACAGCCCAGGGCCTTTCCTTCTGGCAAAGTGTGAGCTCTTCTACCCGTAGGAGGAAGAAAGCCGAATGAAATCAGGTGGATCCTGGGCCCTCTTCCATATGCGGCCAGCCTCTGACAGAGGTGAGGTGGGGGTCACTGAAGGGTGAGACCCTAGAGCACCTGGCCTCTCCCAGACCACCCTCGAGACCAGACTCCCTCGGTTCCAGGGCCTAGAAGGTGGATAAAGAGAGCACGGGATTATCTATCGGGAGGGAAGCCACGGCCAGCCGTCCCCTCCCCCAGTGGGCTAGAACACCTGAGCGGGGCCCAGTGGTGCTCCCCTCCACTTCCTTCCTCCCTGCCCCACTGCCCACTAGTGAGCCTCTTGGGTTTGCATCAGAGTGAGACACAGAGGCATTGCCCAAGGCGTGGACATGTCCAGAAACCTCAAGCACTGTTTCCTCAGCGCCAGGGCAGGAAGCACTCAGCTGGGGGAGGGCCTTGGGGGCACTGACTTCCTCCTTACTCCAGAGGCCACAGGAAGCCCGACCCACCTCTCCCTCCCATGCTCAGGCCTGGTTGCAGAGAGAAGGGGCTCTGTGGGGCAGCCCCTTCTCCCAGCCCCTGCAACCTGCCTGATGGTAAGACCAACTTCTGGGAGTCTGGGGAAGTGGGGCAGGCCAGCACCATGACTCCCATCTGTGAGGCTGAAAAGAGCCCCTTCCCTGCAAGGTGGCACTCTTGGGCTCTACTGGCATTTCAGAGGTCTTGGGAGGACTCCATGCGGGGTTCCTGGTGGGTGGTGAGTGCTCAGAGCTGCATCCAGGACCATGCGGAGCCATGAAAGGAACCCTGGCCTTCCTAGATGGTCATTTGAGGCATCCACCCTTCATTGACATATAATTGACATACAATATTCTACTAGTTTCAAGTGTATATATCCTAGCGATTCAATATTTTATACATTGTGAAGTGATTCCTGTGCCGAGTCTGGTCACCATCTGTCACCATACAAAGTTATTGCAATATTACCGACTCTATCCTGTATGCTGTACTTTTCATCCCTGCGGCTTATTTATTTTGTAAGTGGAAGTTTGTACCCCTTAATCCCCTTCACCTAGTTCACCTGCCCCCCACCCCTCCCCGCTCTGGTAACCAGCAGTTTGTTCCTGTATCTATAAGTCTGTTTCTGTTTCATTTTGTTCCGTTTGTTCGTTTGTGTTTTTTATTCTACACGTAAATGAAGTCATACGGCATTTTTCTCTCTTTATCTGACTTATTTCACTTAGCATAATATTCTCTAGATCCATCCATGTTTTCACAATGGCAAGATTTCATTTTTTAATGGCTGAGTCATCTTCCATTGTATATATATACCACATCTTCTTTATCCGTTCATCTATCGATGGATACTTGGGTTGCTTCCATAATTTGGCCATCGTAAATAATGCTGCCGTAAACATCTGGGTACACGTATCCCTTGGAATTAGTGTTTCTGTATTTGGGGGGTAAATACCCAGTAGTGTGATTACTGGATCATAGGGTAGTTCTATTTTTAACTTTTTGAGGAACCTCCATACGGTTTTCCACAGTTTGCATTCCCACCAACAATGCACAATTTTTCCTTTTTCTCCACATCCTCACCAACCCTTGTTTCGTGTGTGTGTGTGTGTGTGTGTGTGTGTGTGTGTTTTATTTTAGCAACTCTGACAGGTGTAAGGTGGCATCTCATCGTGGTTTTGATTTGCATTTCCCTGATGATGAGTGATGTTGAGCATCTTTCCATGTGTCTGTTTTCCATCTGGATGTCTTCTTTGGAGAAATGTCTGTTCACTTCTTCTGCCCATTTTTTAAATTGGATTATTTGTTTGGGGAGTGTTGAATTGTTTAAGTTCTTTATATATTTTGGATACTAACCCTTTATCGGATATGTCATTTGCAAATATCTTCTCCCATTCTATAGGTTGCCTTTTAGTTTTGTTGATTGTTTCCTTCCCTGTATAGAAGCTTTTTTATTTTGATGTGGTCCCAATAGTTTATTTTTGGTTTCATTTTTCTTGCCTCAGGAGACATATCTAGAAAAATGTTGCTACGGCTGATGTCAGAGACGTTATTGCCTGTGCTCTCTGCTAGGATTTTTATGGTTTCGGTCTCACATTTAGGTCTTTCATCCATTTTGAATTTATTTTTGTGTTTGGTGTAAAAAAGTGGTCTAGTTTCATTCTTTTGCATGTAGCTGTCCAGTTTTCCCAGTACCATTTGTCAAAGAGATTTTTTTTCCCACTGAATTTTCATCTTTCCGGCTTTGTCGAAGACTAATTGACCGTATAATTGTGGGTTTATTTCTGGGACTTCTATTCTGTTCCATTGAACTAGAACACTTGTGATTTTTTTTTTTTTTTTGTCTTTTTGATAAGAGCCAGGTATAAGGTATAAGGTGATATCTCATTGTGGTTTTGATTTTGCATTTCCCTGATGATGAGTGATGTTGAGGATCTTTTCATGTGCCTGTTGGCCATCAGTATGTCTTCTTTAGAGAAATGTTTATTCAGGGCACCTGGGTGGCTCAGTCATTAAGCGTCTGCCTTCAGCTCAGGTCGTGATCCCAGGGTCCTGGGATTGAGCCCCGCATCAGGCTCCCTGCTCCTCCGTGAAGCCTGCTTCTCCCTCTTCCACTCCCCTTGCTTGTGTTGCCTCTCTCAGTGTGTCTTTCTCTGTCAAATAAATAAATAAAATCTTTTAAAAAAAAAGTCTATCAAGCCCTCTGCACATTTTTTTATTCGGGTTATTTGGTTGTTAAGGTGTGAGTTTTTTATATATTTTAGATATTAACCCCTTATTGGAGATATGATTTGCGATTATCTTCTCCCATTTAGTGGTTGCCTTTTTGTTTTGTTGATGGTTTGCATGCAAAAGCTTTTTTGTTTGATGTAGTCCTATTTGTTTATTTTAGCCTTTGTTGCCCTTTCCTCAAGAGAGTGAGCCAAAAAAAAAAAAAATATCGCTAAGACTGATGTCAAAGAGTTCACTGCTTATGTTCTCTTCTAGGAATTTTGTAGTTTCAGGTCTTACATTCAAGTCTTTAATCCATTTTAAATTTCTTCCCATTGTATATTCTTGTCTCCTTTGTCATAGATTAATTGACCATATATGCCTGAGGTTTTTTTCTGGACTCTCTGTTTTATTCTATTCATCATCTGTGTGTCTGTTTTTGTGTCAGTACCACACTATTATGATTACTGTAGCTTTGTAGTACAGTTTGAAACCAGGGGTCATGATCTTCCCAGTTCTGTCCTTTTACAAAATTGCTTTGGCTATTGGGGGTCTTTTGTGGTTTCATACAAATTTTAGGATTCTTTGTTCTAGTTCTGTGAAAAATGCCTTTGGTATTTTGATAGGGATTGCATTGAATCTGTGGATTCCTTTGGATATTATGAACACTTTAACAATATTAATTCTTACAATTCATGAGCATGGTATCTCT